ATCAAAGGGCATCATGGCCTCTGAGCCACCTCCTTTGGTCATAGGATCTACAGGTACCAGACAGAGGACCTTCCCAGTAATGCCACTGTAGTTCTTATCCCTGGTGAGATCTAGCAGGCCTTTTCATTGCCCATCTTTGGAGATAAGAGTTAATAACATAATTTTCTTTTCTTTCTTTTTTTTAAGTGTATTGGTCCTTCACAAATTTGTTGTAGTGTGCTTTTAAAAATAGTTTTTGAATAGACCTGTGTAGAAAAGTGCTTTATAAATGGCATGAAATAAATTAATGCGGAATGAATGAATTGAAAGAAAGAAACAGTCTTGTGGGACCTTAAGGAAAAATAGTGCAATAGTTGTTGCAAAAGAGTATTGAGGCTACCTCTCTGGCAAGCAATGGATTGTTTGTCACACACTGATGACAAGCCAGTTTGTACAATTAGCATTGTGAGTTAAGAGCTCTTTTACCTTTTTATTTTAGCAATGACAGTAGTTTTATGAGTTGGATTGTGTTTCATTGTAGATTTTTACAACCTGTCGTTTATTTTTTAGCTCCTACATAGTCATGCCTGGTATGGATGGGCTAAGGGTGTGTGTGTGTGTATGTGTGTGAGAGAGAAGGTGTTATGATATGCTAATTTGGTTTGTCCAATTAAGCTGCAGGATGGAGACTTTGCACAGTAAATCTGGCCCATGAGGAAAATGGTGTGAGCAGCAGAGGTAGAGTGACCCTATTTGGAGTAGCACCAAAGCGATCTGCTGGTTGGTGCTTGTGCTGCTCAAAGGTGGAGTTTGAAAGCAGGTGTCAAACAGGTGCAAACGGTACCAATAGAGCAAAGCTTAAGTACGTACCCTCATAGTTTCAACTAGCAGACCAGGAAAATGGCAGGGTCAAGTGAGGTGGCCTAGTTCACATGGTAGGAAGACATGCCAAGACACACTTAGTCTGGCATTGTCTAGTTTCACAGCTTGATATTTGTGCTTCTCATTCTGCGACAAACTGGGCAGATGGAAAGTCCCTGTGTGGTTGTGTCTCTTCTTTTTTGTTACCATCATTACAATTAGCGTGCAGCTTTCCCACGTAAATGGGACCAGCACTACAAAAATAAGAAGAGATATCCGTATTGGAGTGCGGAAACAGTTTAGTTCCAATTCCCTTCAAAAAGTAATACGATAACTCAAAAAGACAATTCATGCCCGTAATGCTAACATGGTAACATTTTAAATTCATTATGAAATAGACAATGCTAACCACTGAAGCACAATATTAATTGCTATTATTCATCAGTAATGTATAAACCATACTCCTCCTCTCTGTACTTTTGTATTGAACAATACAAAATGTGTGAGAAAGACAAAACTTTGCATTTTCCTGACCTGTGCCACATAGACACCTTGCGTGGAGCTCAGACGTGCCCCGGCCGCAGTGTTCCTTCCCCTCCTAAGTGGCTGATTTGCCTGCATTAGCTGCAAGCGTATTTAGATTGGATTTAGAATTAAGGCTTGAGAGCCGGTATGGCTAACCATAGTACACAAGAACTCCTTCCCCTGATCCTGTTTCCCTGTTTGATGTGTAGCAGTGGCTGGGAGATCAGAGGGAGGTGGTGATGGAAAGCATGAAGGTCACTGTAGAGTGTAGCATGTGTGTGTTTGTGTGTGTGTGTGGGGTTGTTCTGGCAGAAGCAGGGCCCACAATGGAAATTGGGAGATCAAAGAGGGTTTCTTGGGTAATGCAAGGAAGACAACCATAAAACCAGCACAGATTTATGGAGCTTGCTTCACCCCCTTCTCAAAACCTGATAATGGGCACAGTTTCATCTTCAAGGCTGTGTGAGAGCAGTCAATGGGTGATCAAATGCACACCTGGCCAGCTCTCTTTTCATGGGGAGTGCGCTTCATGCTTCACAGGGCACTTCAGGATGCAATGAATATTCACTGTTTAAATTTTGGACATATTAAAGATAAAAACGGGGCTCAAAAAGGTAGCTAACTATATGCTTAACACTGCATCTAGGTAGACAGTTTTGGAGGGGAAGCGGGTTAGGATTGGCCTCTCCCAGGTGTCAGGTGTGTCTTGCTAGTCCCCTGACATCAGCACACCCTACTAGGATTATTCCATCCCCACAGGCAGAGAGTTCAGCAAGAGAGTATTGCATGGCATGCACTAACAGATGAAGGCTATTCCCCTCTTCTTCTTTGTTATTATTATGATACTGCTTTTAGCTTATGGCCAAGTCACACAAGCTGTGAAGCTTGCATATCCTTTTAAAAGGGCAAAAGCAGTGAGCCCACCCCACCCCCCAACTTTGCGGGGGAATTTCATCCTATTTGGTACAGTAGGAATGCCTAAGGGATGTATCACACCCTGTGTGTGCCCACATCTGATACTTGCAAAATGTTCCCCCTTACAGTGAGACTTGCAGTGCTTCTGTGTTAGTAATACTCCATGTCTAACCTGAGGAACATAGGGACTCATGTTTTCTTGGAACTCTTATCTGAAAAGCCACCCTCGAAATCTCACAAGTGTAGGAGTGACATTTGCTCATTCAGGAGGAAGGCACACCGGATGACCTTCCTTGCGGCTTTTGTTTTGGGAGTGAGGTTGTGGGGGATTAGCCCTTGTTTAGGTGGAGTCTTAGAGGAATCAAAGCTTTTGACTATGATGCTCAAAATCCCCCAAAATGCCTGGCCAGTGGCATTTCCAAGCTCTAAGATAAAGTAATTCAGTTTTGCAGACCAAAAATGAGAGGAAAGCAAGACTCCATGATTAAAATGACTACAGATTCACATGACCATGTTGTTGTTGTTGTTGTGTGCTGTTAAGTCATTTCCAACTTATGGTGAACCTAACACAAGGTTTTCTTGGCAAGATTAAGTCAGAAGGCCCATGCTTTCCTTTCAGGCTAAGAGAGTGTGACTTGTCCAAGGCCATCCAGTGGGTTTTCATAGCCAAGCAGGGATTTGAACTCTGGTCTCCAGAGTCACAGTGTGATGCTCAAACTACTGCACCACATACTTACAGAATAAGGATATCCATAATCTGCCCAGGCACCTGCACTGTTGTGAGTATAGATGACACAAGCTGTTGCATGTAGAGGGCATCCTACAGTGCTCTAATTGTACGCATGTCCACCAGGTGAACCCGACCAAAGTAGATCAGGAAGGCATCTTGTCCTGCTAGGAGTGAAATGAGAACAGTACCAACTCAGGGTGAGACATCCATGCTGTTTCAGAGAAGAATCTGTTGTAATGTCCTCTCTTCTCCAAACCAAAGCACTCACCAAGAGCTAAATGAACATATACATCCATGCAAACAGTCCATATTTGGCTGCTACCAGTGTAAAGACAGCTCTTCCATCCTTCCCTGATCACCAGATTTTCTGTAGCAAGATAAAAGACAGAAGCTGCAGGAGCAAGGAAGCAAAGATGAGGGTAACAAATGGAACGTTCATTTATAGAGCATTTGTCCATTGCTTCTCAGCCCCACTTTCTGGCCCTTGATATCACCACCATCACCCCCCTTGGTAAAATTATGTGAATGGGGCAGAGCAATTGCATCATAAAAACTTGTCTGGAAATACCTTTGTCCTCCTTACCCTCAGTGAGATTCCAGGGCAGGAACAGAACAATGTTGTGGTTGTTAAAGCAAAGCAGCATGCCCCATAAATTCAGGAGATTTTTGGGGTGTGGAGGGGGTTTCCTCTCCCAAGTCCTTCCTGAGCTGTTCAGCTTCCTGATTCCTTCCTTCCTTCCTTCCTGGGAGCCATCTAGAGAGAATGCCCTTCTGCTAATCCTTTCTGCTGACCAGGAGAGGAGGAGGGCAGCAGAGGTCGCCCAGGATTTACTAATATAAGCACATGCCTTTCCATTGCTATGGAAACATAACTCTTTCCATCACTTCTTCAAAGATGCCCCCTCAACTGTTGTTTCCCTCGGAGTGTAATACAGGAGGCCAAAGCGCTCCCCCTCACACTCACTTTCGGCCATTGACTCTAAAGGGCAAGCGCTTGGCAAGTCTACAAGGACCCAAGCCAAATTGCCTACTGGGAAGTCATCCTTTAGAAATCGGCTGTAAAACCACATAAAATAGCATGACTATAATGCAGTGGTTATGTCGTACTGCCAAAACCGTATGGCCTCTGATTCAAAACTTTGATTCAAAACTTTGAATTGGGACTCATTAAGGCTCAAGTGATGAGACTCTGGGAATGCGCAGATTGCTTTTCTTTCACCAGTCAGTATTAACAAGTCCCAAAACATCTGGGGGGAGGTGACAGAATTCTAGTTCAGTAGCAGACCACAAGATATGAATCAGACTACAACAGCTCCCCCTGTTTTTGGAAGCTAAACATTTTGACTTCTCATTTTGGTTTTAGTTTGACCACTGTACTCATTGCAAAGCTCCAATAGATATGTTCGGGGGCCCAGGCTCTGGATTTTTGTTACCATACACAAGTGTATTCTGAAGCATAACATGTGAGTTCAAAGTTAACACACACATATAAAAGTGCAGCCTTATCACATCACCTCTAATCCTGTCTCAAAGATTTGTACTAGTTACATGCTGTTGCTTGCCACAACCTGCTGGTTTTTGGCCTCCACCCCAGCTGTGAAATTAAGCGGAGCATATTAAGAAACAATCAGTGCCATCTTCCTTTCTCAGTCTGTGCTAAATATTAATTTTATGATTGAGGTGGGGTCAACCATACACACTAGGATAACTGTGAAGGTCTTGTGACCTCCCAGACATTGGTGGACTATAACTCCCAGCAGCCCTAGAAGAATAGTTACGGATGAGGAATGCAGTCCAGTGAGTTGTAATCAACAACGCTGAATGATCCCCATCCCTGCGCTAGTGGTTAACACAACCCACTGACATGACAAAGATGAGGGGTCAAGAATCAAAGCATTAACTGCAGGCCAGAGCATAGTAGTATAATGTTGTGCCATCAAAGGGCAAGTGTACCCACTACCACCATATCTTAAAGAGTTACCTCCTACTCCCAGTCTTCATCCAGCACCATGCAGAGCATTTGCTCTAGCTATAAAAGAAGATGTCAAACAAACAAACAAGCAAACAAATGAGCACAAAAACAAACAAATAACTAGGACCAGGCAGGAATGAGGCTGACAAGTCCAATTCTCTTGTCTTTTTCACTGGAATTTTAAGTGGGGGGACCAGGTCAGCCTGGAGGTTGCTTATCAGCTAAATCTGTCTGGAAGAGTATGAAGAAGCAGGGAATGGTGTGCATGGCTAACCTTAGCATGACATTTAAGGTGCCAAAGTGCATGGGAGGTCAGAACCTGCGAAAGACATAGTTGTGGTGCCGTAAAGCCTCAAAGGGGAATGTGTTCTAGAAAATGTACATATGCCCTCAGAAAGATAAACATTGTAAGTGCATTAAGGAGAGATTTTAGTGTTTGCTCCATTGTTTGTACTGGATTTGAAAGAAAACCAGAGAGAAAAAGACACTGAAACCAGCTGTTGGTGTAAAAGTGATAAATCTCCCTAGATTTAGATAGACAGATAGATGGATGTAAATTAACCTGAATTTGAAAATAAAACTATTTTTCTCCCCTTCCCTGCCATCCAAAGCAATTCTCTATCTACAAAATAGTGTAACTGTCCAAGGTCTCATACTTTTTATCTATCCTTTGACTGCCCCACACTGGGATTTGTGTGAGTTGTGGAGTATTTTGTGACTCCATTAGGAATTCCAATGTCTCTCTGCCTTGGCAGCAAACAGGAGCAAATAAGGCAGCAGTAAAATCCAAAGCGTGCCATTAAATGTCCAGGAAAATAAGACCATTTTTTCTCAGTGGCTAAAAAGTTCAAGTAAGCAAATAAGGCAAAGGTGTTCTTTAACGGAGTTGCTGCTATCACTAGGTCTTCCCACAAGGAAAACACACACCTTCCCTGAAAAGGAAAAAGCGCCTCAAGCTGGGTCACCAATAACTCTGAATGTTCAGGCTGAACGCTCAGCATCTTCAAGTCAGATTGGAAATGAACCCCCGAGAGGTATTTTAGTCAGTAGAGATAGTATTGGCCGAGATGGACATTAATGGTCTGACTTGGAGGTGTGTGTGGGAGAAGGGTGAGCTAAAGAAGTTACTGCTTTAAAAGAACAAATGCTTTTCACTGGACACAGACATGGATTGGTAGCAACGGTGCAATAAATCCATATTAATAGCCTCTAAGCTGTTTTCTGAAAGGAGGCTCATGCTCAAGAGATGAAATGAACCTCTATGTTCTTCTGTTCATGTGCAGAGAGAATGATCTGGTGCCATTCTGACAGCATGTTTCAGTGATCTTGATCCATGGGCTTCTGGAGCATGTTTTTCCAGGAGATTTGGGCTTAGGCCTGGTACAACAGCCATTCTGCAGGCTTTGTGGCATTTGCTTGCATGCCAAGCTAGGGATTTGCTGTTGCTCAGAGTCACTTTTCCATGCCAGAAACAAAGACATCTTCTTGGTCGCTCAAATGAATACTTCCTTGCATTGACTCTTACATGTAGTGGCCTGGGAGATTATTGAAATAGACTTGCACGATTAATTCTGAACTTTAGAAATGGAATTTTTAATTTTTTAGAAATGGAAACTGGTTCAGAATGCAGAAGCTAAAAGCTTTCTGGTACTTGTTTTTCAGACCATGCTACCCTCGTCTTTTATCAACTGCAAGGACTTCTATTTTCCCTCCAGACCCAAGGCTGTGTGCTGGTACTTACCTATAAAAGTCTAACTAATTTGGGGGCTATGGCATTCACCTATAAAATTCCATAGTGTTTTGGGACTATCTCCTTTCATATGAAACTCCATACAATGTGTATTGGGAATCCCTGTTCCATCTCTCACTATCAAAAGATGTTTGGTTTGTAGGAATATGAGACAGGAACATGAGACTGGAGTGTGTTAGCACCCCAGTGGTTGAATTCCCTCTCTGAAGTGGGAGACTAGCCTCATTCTTCATGGTGTTCAGGCAGATAGTAAAAACAACAGTATTTAAAATACAGTGTGATCTGAATGAAAGTTTGAACACTGAGTGGGTCCTTTGCATCAGGCTGAAAGTTTATATAAACGTGGTGCTGGTGGTGGTGAAGACTAACACATGTTTAGAGTTTACCAGGTATCACGTGTCAAAGTAATTTTACTTACCAAGATATCTGTAAACGTAAACTCCAGATTTGCCCTGTAGGTGGGAAAAGGGGGGGGGGGTGTAGTCCGAAAGAAAGAAGTGTTCAGCTAATGCTTGTTGTCTGTGGCAGTCTTTGAAGTTCATCCTAATCTATTCTCCATTCTCAAATGTGTGTAGCTTCCTTCCTAGAAGTAATGGGATTGTCTGCTGCCATTAGTGCTTTGGGACACAGAGCAAAAGGTGAAGGTGTGAAAGTAACAGAAGCGGGAGAGGGAGGAGACTGTATTAGCACTTTTAAAGACTAACTAATTTATGTATTTTAGCATGAGCTTTGTGGATTAAAACCCACAAACTTCCCTTTGGAAGTCAATTCTTGTGGGACACCACCAATGGAAAAAGCCATCCTACTCTTCTTGCCACCTTCTTAATTTCTGGCAGAGCTAGCAGCGCTCTAAGACAAGCGTTTGTGGGAGATCGTAATTCTGTGTAGGTTGATACAGGAGAAAGTGGTTTCACATCCCATAATTCATCTTAGTGCTGCAATTTTCTGTCTCTGAACCATTTGGGAGCAAAGGCTAATTGAGGTGTTATGCTCATTATGCCTTGTGCATATTGATTGGGTTCATTAATAAAATAATGGTCGGTGCTCACGGACGCTGATCAGCGAAGAGAGCAAAAACACAGATTACAAGCAAGACAAGGTTCTCAGGTGCAAACACATGTACAGCTTGACCTCACTCCCAGGAACGAAGCAAAGCCTCAGTCGCCTGGCGCTAAAGTGCAGCTGTTGGGTCCTGATGTGAATTAGCCACCAGGATAATTTTGGCTATCCTGAGCAGATGCTGCCCAACTTCCATCCACAATGGAGGAGGAGGCATAGTATTT